TGTTTGTACTCTCTGAGAGTAGGACAAAGCCAGTGGATAAAAGCTTTACAGAGAGAGACACAAGCTCAAGACCAGGAGTAACCTTTTAACTATGAGAATTATTTAGAAGTAGAATAGCCACCTGCCTCCTGTAATTGTGGGTGTTCCAATATTGGTGGTTTTTAAACAAAGATTGGATAGCTGATCTTTGGGATAATCTGAGGGTTTGTGTCCTGGTTAGATGTATGAACTAAAAGACTTCCAAGGTCACTTCCAACCCCATGATTCTAAAATATCCTTTCCCCATTATATATTGTATTTAAAAAAATAACTCATGCCTTTATATCAGTACACTTGTGCTATACCACTGGAAGTACTCCACTTGGGCCTGCCTCTGAAGACCAGCTAGAAACTGTAATTGGTGCAGAAGGCACTAGTCCATTTATTAGCTGGTGCACATTACCAGGAGCACATTATAGCTCCTGATTGGCTTCCTACAGTTTTTCAGGTACAAAGTGCTGGTTTTAATCTGCAAAACCCTCTGGGACTTATCACTTATTTACTTACATGCTGACTTATTTATTTAACAAGAGTATATAGCCACCCAGTTACCAACAGAACTCTGGGCACTGAGCTAAAATATAACTTGGCATGTAAATCAATGAATAGAACCAGGTTGATGCCACTGTAAAAACACCTTATTAACACATCTCACACCCTTATTCTGGATTCTACTAACATCCTGACTCCAGTGCCTGGGGAAAAAGTCAGGTCTTCATGGCCTCCTGGAAGGCCCAAAGGGTCAGAGCCAAGTTAATCTCAGGGTGAAAGCGATACCTTGTCAGAGGAGCATTCTTTCTAGAACCCACCAGGTGATACAAGATCACTGAAGAGACTCAGACCATGCCCACTCTGCTAAATGTACTCTGATAGGCAGAAGCTATGAGAGATAGGTGGAGCTAGTAGATAGACTTAGGTAACATTGGGGCTGGAATCTACCATCTGATTTCCTTACCCTAAAAATATCCACTTCCATAAAGTAAAGGGTTCATAAAGATTCAAAGGCAATTGCTTCACAATAGCTATATCTGACATTTGAACAGCACCCCTGTAAAAGACGTTTGATCCCTTCTTGCACATTTAACAAGAATTAAAATACCAAAAAAGTAGGAAAAAAGGAAATAAAAAAGGACTGTAGGGTCCTTTATACATCTGCTAATTTGTAAACATATAACTTATTGTGAATATTTTTTTATCATTTTTGGTTGACTATAGGTGGTTAATAAATGAAATGAATTCATACCATGAGGAAGATTGGCAGAGAAGTAGATCAAAATTGCTAACAGAGATTAAAGGCAATTTAAGGAAGTGATTATTGGTAATTTCCTACCTAGTCCAATATTGCAACCATGAACCAAACGGTCAGCAGTATTAATTCTTGCAATACTATTATTTAGCATATTACCTCCTCCCATTAACTACCCTTTCTAAATAAAAAACAGTTTATTGTAGATTTGCTTATTTACAATACTGTTTATAAATAGTGCACTGTTTAAACTTCCTGCAGTATTTTAAAGTAGCAAAATACATGGATAATATTTTAAATGTTTTTATTTTTAGTGCTTTTCCAATCCCCTCGTAATAAAATAACAGCAGCTATTTAGCCATCACTTTTTCTTCCATTCTGAACACATTACATTCCTGAGCCATAAGATAAATTTGCTGAAAACTAATATGTTTTTTTAAAAAAAAGAAAAGAAAGAAAAAAAAATAAAGTAACATAAAACGATTGGACTTCTAGCAGAAAACAACAGGGTATGAAAAATTAGGATGGAGTTCATGTGGAAAAAAAATTTCATTTCAGGAGGCTAGATTAACTGAGCAATTTTCTCACCAAGACTGTGTAATTTAAATTTAATTTACTGAGTGTGAAGCTGATCTTTCTGACTGGCTGCTGAGACTTGTAGTAGAAAGAAAGAAAGGGGAAAAAACCCTCAGATATGTCACATTAATCAATCCCATTCTTCAGCTTTCTTTTCCTCTTGCTTATAACGTTTTTTATATACAATAAAACTAAACCAAACACAACAGCATTAATTTCATGTTACTGCTTGACAGTTTTTCCCTTGGAAAAAAGGGTTCTGCACTGTTGAAACATATCCTCTACTTTTCAAGAAGATAAGAAATTACAGATTTGCACTAATTAGATTTGCTTTCTAAATCCATATTTAAATGTGTATTTTCACCTAACTTTTATAAAGCTATTCTGATCCATTTAAACTGCCAGTAATAGCACCGTACCATCAGAAGATGTATCAATTCTAGTGGGTAATCTGGTTTTGATTCACATTAATCCGAACAATGGCGGTGGGATAATATTTTCATATTGGAATTTGCAAAATTTTACATTTCCTAAGCATATTAAGGAAGAGCAGAAGTAGACACTCCTACAAAGATGCCTATTTGCTGATTATAGAAAGAGGAGATATTTAGACAGGTATTTGGTTTAAAATGTTTCCTA